CAGAGGTTATTGACGGCTCAGAGTCGTCAGAAGAGTTATGCGGATAGGCGACGATCCGAGCTTGAGTTCCAGGTGGGAGACTTCGTACTCCTGAAAGTGTCTCCTTGGAAAGGAGTGATCCGATTCAGGAAGAAGGGCAAGATGGGGCCCCGACACATCGGTCCGTTCAGGGTGACCACGAGGGTGGGCAGGGTAGCATATCGGTTGGAGCTACCTGCAGAGCTGAGCCAGATTCATGACACCTTCCACGTGTCTCAGTTGAGCAAGTGTATAGCCGATGAGTCGACAGCGGTACCACTGGAGGATATTCAGGTAAATGCGAGCCTGAATTATGCTGAGAGACCAATCGCGATCCGGGATCGGAAGATCAAGGTTCTGAGGAACAAGGAAGTGTCCCTGGTGCAGGTCTAGTGGCAACATCGGAAAGGGTCCGAGCTGACTTGGGAGCCGGAGCTGGAGATGCGGGAGCAGCATCCCGAGTTGTTTGTCGAGCAAGACTTCGAGGGTGAAGTCTAATTCTAGTGGGGGAGAATTGTAACATCCGGATTCCCAGGTATCTTATTTAAGTATTTATCTTGAGTTTTAGGAAGGGACTCGGCGAGTAGGCGCTCAGACTCGCCGAGTAGGAGCGCGTATTTCTTGTCTGATTTAATGAAAGACTCGACGAGTCGATGCGTGGACTCGGCGAGTCCGCGCTGTAAAGTGAAACCCTAATTCTCGGGGTCTGTGCCCTATTTAAAGGCCTTTATAGCCTCCATTTGCGGCCAATCCACCCCTGAGAAATCCTAGAGAGCAGAAAGAAATCTTGTAGTGCAAGAGGAGGGCTAATTCATCATTCTAAGTGTGATTTTGCAAGAAAGAAGGAAGGAGGACAAACAAGGAAGATTGAGGAGCTCAGATCTATCACCCATTTGATCAGAAGAGGCTGCTAGAGGTACTAATCTGTGCTCAATCTCGTGTATTTGGTGATCTACTTGAATCTAGGCTTTTCTTATGCCTTCTTTGGCTTGGATTCGAAGTATGTGAGGTCCCAAGGTGGAGTTCTTCTTAGATCTGGACCTTAAGAGGTCCAGAGAGTCCTATCTACCTTGCTTTTTGCTACTCCATTAGAGATATGACCCTAGGTTGCCATTCTAGAGGTTATTTCACCCAAAGGAGCTTATTGGACATTGCATGAGTGTAAAGGTCGGACCTTTACGTGATTATAGTGGTTGGGAAGGTCATATCTATAGGTTAGAGAAATAGATCTGACCTCAGAAGGTCATTTCAATGTTGACATGATGCAACTCGCCGAGTCCATAATGGGACTCGACGAGTCGAGTCGGGGTTGCCCCGCGATTCGTGACAGGTGTAACCCGTCGAGTGGGATGATGACTAGATGAGCCAAGAGAGGCTAGAAGGATTCAGATAACCCGCATGGACTCGCCGAGTCGCCCTTGTGCACTCGACGAGTCGGGTCAAAGTTTGACCGTTGACTTTCGTTGACTTTCGTTGGCTTTAGGGTTCTGGTCAAGACTGATTCAAGAGAGTTCAGAGAGGGGTAGAATGGCCTTCTACCCAATCTGTAGAGATGAGATTATGAGAGAATATTGATCGGGAATGTTATTTGAATAATAGGAGGAGGCTAGGTCGGGACGTTGGGCACGAGAGTTTATCCGACTTCATTGAGGTGAGTCTTCTCACTATATTGTGCCTGGAAGGGTACCTATGTGTGACCGGAAGGTCTTGTATGCTATGAGATGTATGTGCTATATGCGGTTATGTGATATGTATGTGCTATGTATGCTATGTATGGTATGGACCGGAAGGTCAAGATGATATGGACCGGAAGGTCAAGATGACATGGACCGGAAGGTCAAGAGGTTACGAACCGGAAGGTTGATACGGGTAGGACCGGAAGGTCTACCGGGATTCGGGACGAAAGTCCCCTGAGACACATGGATCGGAAGATCCTACAGAGTTATGGCCTGGAAAGGCGTATGTGTTGTATGTGGTATCTTGGGGAACTCACTAAGCGTTTATGCTTATAGTTGTTATGTTATGTGTTTCAGGTACTAGCGAGGATCGCGGGAAGGCGACGGCATGATCCGTACACACTTATGGAGTTTATGTTATTGAGATTCTGGGACATGTTTTGTTATGACACAGTGGATACATTATGTTTTGTGATTATCGTGTGATTGAAAGTATGATTTAAAAATAAAAAATTGTTTTGAAAATTTACGTTGTTACATTATACATATAAACATATAAACATGTAATCATACAAACACATGCGATAATCACAAAGACAATAACATACAATATTGTCATCGCCCCACACCCCCCCCCCCCGTATTGGGCCTTGCCTGGTAAGCATACCAACACATAACACATGCAAGAGTCACGCAAACATCTAGCATCCTAACATAATAAACCATAGGTCGGCATTGGTGCCTTCGACCCGCTAAACCCAATGAGGAAACCCACATCTAACTGTTGAATCACTCAGATAAATCTTTGTCTGCTGGTCCGGCAAATCCCCGCCCTATCATCATAAAACACATCTAATTAATAATTGAATTCCGACCCATACCTAAGAGTCTAAGCTAGGGTAAAATACCTTTTTTATCCCTTTATCTAACTGGGCCCAAGGCCAAGGCCTAATCCAACTACTCGAAAGGCCCAAAACCAAAATGATCACCCAAAGCCCAATTAAAGTAAGCCCAAAACACCTAATAGCCCAAGGCCCAAAATCGACCCGTTCGACTTCTGCTGAGAACGCCTGGCGTTCCCCCCTATGATGTCTGGCGTCCGAACGTCAGGCGTTCCCATGCAAACGCCTAGCGTTTTCACGCTGTTTACCAACTTCCAAACCAATGACTTAATTGCTTAAGATCTCATGTCCAAAATTCAGATCCAATCATAATGGAACGTCTAAAGCCATAAATTTGCAAACTTTATGGCCATGCATGGCTACAATGAGCCTAACACCAAGATCCTAACTCAAAATCAACTATAAGGCTCTAAAACTATTGCATGGAAGATTATAAAGACCCAAGATTGCATTTTTATGATTCTAGACTCACGATTATGCTTGAAAGGACATGTCAAACCTTTGGAGCATTCCAAACTCACATATATCAAGTCTTTGGGGCCAAAAAGAACATAAACTAACCCTAAATCAAGAACTAACAAATGATACATCAATATTTGAACTTTATACCTCAAAATGATGCTCTAAGATGTCAAGAGTCCAGATCCACAAGCTAGAGAGCAACCACAATACTCCAAAGATCTTCCTTCTCTTATCAAGAACAGTAAATGATACCCAAAATATGAACCAAGGCTTCAAACTCTCATACACACTTAGGGTTTACAAAATGAGGATGGAGGCTGCAGTGGTGAAGGGTTTTGAGGCCATAATGTTCTTTAAATAGGGTGCAAACCCTAAAAATTAGGGTTTGATCTCTGCGTGCAAATGTCTGACGTCCATCATAGAACGCCTAGCGTTCCATGCCAAACGCCTGGCGTTTGGACCAAAGTGTCAAAAATTAACACAAAAAGGTTAAAAATGTAAATACCTGGAAACCATGGGGTTACAGGTCAAAGGCAATGTAATTAGGGAAGGCTAGTTACCAAGGATAAGTAATATGTTGGAATATGTTATGTGTTTTGTTGCATGACTATATAGTACTGTTAGTATTGGTCGGTCGGTGAATGGACACCCTAGGGGGTTATATGTAGTTTAAGTTGGATAGCCTGGGAACTCTTGATCTAAGTTTTCCTACATGTTCCTTGTTTGGTTGTGACTCTAGATTAGGATTATGTGTTTGACTATCTATCCGACCGCCGATTGTATATAACTACGTGTTCATGAGGCGGTTGCCAGTACTAGCATACGCCAAGTATTAATATGGTTCCGGTGCGAGGCCAATGGTATGTTCTAGCGTGAGGTCGATGATGTAGTTCTGGCACGAGGCTGATGGTAGTATGACGGCTGAGAGCTGATGATAATGGTGGCTAGGAGCCAGTGGCAGAGTGCTAGTAATTGATATGTATGATTGCATGTATATTGTATGTTGTATGTTTACGAATAGGAGATTTGGCAGCTCGGTGTTTGAGTCGAGACTTTGTGTGGATGCATTGTATGTAGATGGAATACGTGGTATATTGGGGAACTCACTAAGCTTTATTCTTACAGTTGTAGATTAAACATTTTGCAGGTCGTTCGTTAGAAGAGCTCGACGGGACTGTACACACGCATCAAAGATATTCGTTTCTGCGGTTTTATAAACTTAACTCTGATAATGTATGGTTTTCAACAAAGCAATGTTATCCAATGCTTTTCGAAATAAAAGGTTTAATTGGTTAATCTGTTTTATAAAGAAAAATCTTTGTAATTTTCGGGATGTTACAAATGTTGAACGGATTAGAAATTTTTGGGTTTTCACAAATCATTTAGTTCTCAAAAGTACATTCATCTCTCTCTCTCTCTCTCTCTCTCTCTCTCTCTCTATATATATATATATATATATATATATATATATATATATATATATATATATATATATATATATATATATATATATATATATAGGGTTACGATTAAATGTGAATGGTAAATATGGTGTGAATGTAAGACTGAATTTGGACCATCGACTGAGAAAAATCATGTGATTAAGAATGAATGCTGATTTTATTAATTTTTTATTTAATTTTTAAATAAAATGGTTGATAATATTATTAGAAGGTTAATTGAGTATTTTTTTTGGATTTTAAAAAAGGAAGTCGACATGTTACCCGATTCTTTCGTTCCACCGTTTAATATTATCTCATATTATTAGGCAAGAATGTTTATGATATTAACAAATGAATAGACGATTTCCTCAAAACAAATCAATCATCCACTCTAAAAGATATCGTATCCACAATTCTAAAAATACAGTATACCTATAAGAAGAGTGATAGAGGGTTTACATTCAAAGCAAAGATGCAGTCACCGACTTAAGAATCGAATAATGAGAAGCCGATCAAGCTCAAGATTACGAGAGAACTTCAAAACGAAGTTCACAAACACAGCATCTGCGCCACTTCAGATTGATGAAGACAATGATTTTTTCGATCCACCACTGTTAGGTAATGTTTTATTATGTTTTTGGATATATTCTTCAAGAATTGAAGTGCTATTTTGCAAAATAGTGTTCATTCTATACGAATGAAAACGTAATGCAGGAGAAATTTTTTATGAAGTGTAGTTCAAAACAAGTTTGGGTTTGCACAGGTTAAGTTAGTTAAAATCAAGTTTGCGATTTATTCTTCAAGAATTCTAATGCAATTTGTATAATATGGTTCATTTTGTAAGAATGAAGCGTTATTCTTGTAGAATTTGGTATGAAATTAAGTTTAAAACAATTTAGGGTTTGAACTGGTCACGTATTGAAAAAGTTTGGCTTTTTTTGGGGAGGGGGGGGTTTGCTGTTGTTGTAGCTTATTAGTAATTGTTCTGTTAATATTTTTCTGTTCTTGTACACGTAATGGTGTAAGAATTAATGGTTGATTGCAAATCCTTTGACGTTCAGATGAACAAGTGCTACTACAATTTGTGTCAGTACATGGTTGACACTTGACAGCTTGATCAGGAAGCAATTGTGGAATTGGGACGACCAGTTATGCTATTACTCGGGGCCTATTACCATATTGTTGGTATGAATGTCATAAATATATTTTTAAATACAAATGATTATTAGTCTATGATGTCTATATTATTATATTTTCTAACAAATTAGTAATATGTATGCAGCTTGTATATGTGTTTAATGTTCGCATAAGTAAAAGCATTAAATTGAAAAAAGGACCCCTTTCATAACACATGTTACTGGAGATAATTTGGAAAAGATCAAGTAGTTTGAGGTGAATGCAGATTCTCTTGGGATGGGGCGGTTCATCGGAAGGGAAGATGATGAACATGAAGATGTTAGTACTGATACAGATATGGAGTTGGAAACGGTTGAGAGAGAATTTGCAGATGAGGAGGTAAACACTTTATTTTCTATCTGACATATAATGTTCTTAAGTTTGATTTTGGCATTGATGTAAACGAGCTGTATTTAAGAATGGGCTGGGCATATGACATTATATTTTTTAATTTTGAATTACACATTCTATCGGATTGACTTGTTTATGTTATATGATTCCTTTAGAAAGATGACATGGTATGAGGTATATGAGCATGTAATGAGTTATAAACTTATGTAAATCTAAATGAATTAATACGTCATTTTCCTGGTATAAATTATTCGGAATGAATGAATATGTAATATTATTTGTTTATGACAGCTTAATTATTTGCTACATGCATGAGTATTGTGCAATATTTGACATCAGGTACAATAAAACAGTGACTGAAAAGGCAACATGGAAAAAGCATTAATTAGAGGTTTGAAAAAGTTTCCTGGTCATGAATTAGTGAACTATTGAGAAAAAGGATGACATTGATGAGAATGTTGTTTAAGGATGTGGTGAGTAATGAAGATGCAATTGAAAATGAAAGTGATGGCATTAATGAGGAGACATACACATATGAAAACATGTTATAGAAAAACGCACAACATGAAAAATTTGGACAAGTTTCAGGGTCAAATAAAAGTCCTATTACACCATCTGGGACAAAAGAGAATGTAGAAAACATTGGGCAACATAAGGAAGGGAAAGACATTGCATATGCCTACATGACGCCTATGGGTGAAAATGATGAAGAATGGGGCAATATAAAAGAATTGAGTAGTTCACAAGTCTATAAACTGCCTGGAGTTGTAGATGAAGTATTGGATATGATGGATAAAGCATCAAGTGAGAAGAGGGATCTGATGTTGGAGATTACAATGAGGGGTTGATAAGAGTTTAAAACACACAAACAATGAGGAAACAGAAGAATGTTAGTCTTTTGAATGTCTGGTTTGCAAAAAATTAGTTTTTATTTTATTTGGTTTTGTTTTAAGTTTATGTATGCCGTTTGTTTTAGCTTATGTCAGTCTTTAGTTGATGGAACCTTTTACTATTTGAAGTTATGGTATGAACAAAAAATGATGGTTTATGGAAGTTATGACTGAAATAAAAATTAAAGTTTTTGAGTTGTGACTTTTCTTTTTAACTCTTATAGCACTAAGAAATGATTTTTTTGGTAATTTTAATAGATAACCATGGAATGTGATTTTTTTATATTGTCGATTCGTTAGGAATATGAGTAAGCAATAATTGAAATTGGTGGTTCCTAGGATTTACCATTTGCATGGACAGTCTCTAATAATAGTTTGTAATCTGTAAGAATATTGTGTATTATCATGGTATTAAGTAATAACTTTAATTACATTTACATGGACATTCTTTTAGAATTGTTTGTAATATTATGCTATTAAGTAAGAAATACATGAATGTAAAAATGTTGTTAACTGTAATAGATTCTAAAAGAAATTTAGTTTGGTATTACTTGTAATTGATGGTTCCCAAGTATGTTACTTTAACATGTAATAATCGTATATATTCTGAAAGAATTAGTTATAACACATTGTTTTAAAAATGATTTTGTATTGAATAATAAACGAGAACATGTGAAGGCTAAATAGCAAAACAAACAATAGAGTACTAAGATACTTATAACAAGGTAAATAACAGATGATCTTTATTGAAAAAGGAATTACTTGAAAAACATAAAGTCATTTAAATGATTTGTTGCATGAATAGGAAAAAAATAAGACTACACTACTTTAGCCTTCATGGGACAATTTCTCTTATCATGATTAACCTTCTGTTTGCATAAGTTACACGTTCTCTTTGGCTTCTGGCATTGATTTGTCAACATATATTTTTTACTTTTAAGTCTTTTTCCACGACTACTTGAACCTTTGTTGCTGATGAGAGAAGGATTCTCAATTTCATGTTCCTTTGGAAGAGTAACACTTATAATCTCTTCAAAATGATTCCTGTTAACCAAATAATTAGAAAAAGATGAAAGGTAGAACTTCATTTTCAACTTATTCATCTCCTCTAAGTACTCATGCAACTTCACTGGATAATGATTGTAATAGAATGTTCTGTTCAAACTGAAACTACTACAAAACAGATTCTGTTCAATTGAACACAACTATTTAAGTTAATTATGAAAAATATTGTAGAATGTATAAACATTCAAAATTGTTTTCAAAATTCTCTAAGAATATATGATTATGTGAGAATATATTTTCCTATTCACAAATCATAAAAAAAGTGTTTTATCAATATGCTTTTAACGTAGCTGTAGGTTTCATATCTTTAATAAAGTTATAACCCACGATGATTTATGAATGATAAAATAGACCATTCTTTAAGAATTTCCTATGACGATAGCACGATCCAATAACCAGGAAAAAAGACCTGTTTAAATTCACATAATGTAAAAAATAAAAAATAAATAAATAAACAGAGAAAATCATACCTTTGTTCCAAACAGAAATCGAACAAATCCCTCACTTATTCAGGTGTTGATTTCATCATCTACGAGACCCATTCTCACAGAAAATTCGAAATTGGTGAGTATGATAGCTTCAAACAAACTACAACAAAACCTAATTAATAAAGGAGGCATGATATAAAGATGCCAATCTGAAACCTAATTAAACAAAATTGACACCTAACTAAACAATGGAAAATATATTATCATTTGAAACATTTGGATTAATTCCATATATATAGCTATTTTTATTTAGGTAATAAAAAAGAAATTGTCGATCATACCCTTTTGAGATCAATGGTTGAAGTTAGGTCCCACAATCACACAATAAGTAGGGTTCATATATGAACCTAACTCTCTCTCTCTCTCTCTCTCTCTCTCTCTCTATATATATATATATATATATATATATATATATATATATATATATATATATATATATATATATATATATATATGAAAAAGTGAATATACCCTTAAGGGCATATAAGGTTAGGTACCCAATCTATACAAAACTACGTAGTTTTGTATAATGGTTTAATTTTCTGAAATAAAAAAAACAATATACTAAGTTTCCTTATTCTTTATTCACTGATAATCGATGAAGGAGTACTGTGCCTTCCTTTTCGACCGGAAGCAACCCATCGAACTTCCTTCAATCGCGATTTTCTACTGATTAGTCCTTGGCCATATTGATTGTACTCGGTTCTAAAAGGATTTTACTGAGCAACTGATTATACGACCAATTGATCAATTAGGCGTCTTTTATACGATGTTGCTCACCCCTTTTCCCACCTAACGAACCCTATTCAACGAGACAGTTATGATAAAACCTCTTCCCCAAAGATTTGATGTTGAATCAAGGTATCGACTATATCCACTTGTTGCTACCTATCAGATTGTGTACATAAGGTGCTCGATGAAATGATCGAGAGAAACTCAACATCAGTGAATCCCATAATCAGTGGTGTCGTTAGGGTGACTACTCTTTTTCACGTATAACTTATCCAGAGAATACATTGTAAGTTGCAACAAGCAAATAACAATTATACTTTACAGGTTCTTCGTTACGTGTTATAAAATAGTTTATAATGTGTAGGTTTAAACCATACACCCCAACCAATTTGCATTCTAATGTAAGACATTTTGAGTTAGTTATTAAGCTACATAATATATCCTTAATTTGAAAAAAAAACTCTTGCTTACGCTTGTCATTTATATTATACATGCATTTTGTGTTTTCATATAAATCATCATATTATGGTGTGTAAATGTGGATGTATCCAAAAGGTAATATCTCCCACCACTTAAGAGAGATGCATGAAGGTGATTATATGGTTGTAAGGGGACCTAAGGTAATTCCTTAAATCACCCTCACCATCTTAAAATTTTTAAATCATATATAAGGTAAATTTTTAAATCATATATAAGGTTGTAGGCAAGATTCAATCATTTATGCTTTTTTAGTTATTTCACTGTTTAAACATGCAAGTTTCCAATAATATGATGAACTGAAACTAATTTATATTTCAATCATTTATGCTTTTTTAGTTATTTCACTGTGGAAACATGCAAGTTTCCAACATATAAGCTAATCATGCAAACACATAAGGATGCCCTGGAAACCCTCCAGGGTCTTACACCGGGTGCCATGGGAACCCCCACATGGTCTTAGCCCAATGACATGGGAACGCCCACATGGTCTTAACCAAGGATGCCATGGAAACCCTCCAGGGTCTTACACCTAAGTTCCCCGGAAACCCCCCAAGGTCTTCTATGCAAGTATCACAAAGACCACTAGCATATCACGTACCACATAATCAATTAGCATACCACATAATCAATTAGCGTACCACATAATCACTAGCATACTCCCTATCACATAACCAGCTAACATGCCACATAATACAACTTCAGCTAGTGTATAACATATTATAAAATGGGCCGGTATATGTGCCTTAGACCCATTGGTATGGTGAGGAGATTGACCTGGCACTGCTGAAGTCCCACGGATGAACTTCCAGCTGTTGGTTGACAGATTCCCGAACTTCCAACATCAAACAATACACAATTAATAAGTGGGTTCCAATGCATAACCACAACTCCATACTTGGGGTAAAAGACTACTTTACCCTGACTCAGCTTTATTCAGTCCAAGGCCCACTCCAAAGGCGCAAAAGTCAAACCATGGACCAAAGCCCCACATATGGCCCAATTTTCCAAATTGGGCCCAACCTTTATATGGTCTCATTCAAAGGCCCAACCATTTAGTTCAGTCCAAACATTTGGCATTTTTAATGGCCCAATATGTCATAATCATAAAGGCCAAATTATGGCCCATCTATGGCCCAATTTTCTAAATTGAGCCCAAACCTTCACATGGGCATTACCCTAAAGGCCATTAATTTTTTATAGTCCATATAATTGTTCTTGGATGGCCTACTATTGGCCCAATCACTAAAAGCCCAATAGAAAGGCCCAACATAAAGCCCAAGTGAAATTAGGGTTTCACATGAAATGACAAGTAGGGTTAAGTGTTTCTCACTTAACCCATTAAGGACTTAATCCATTAAGTCCCTCAATCTGCTAAATAAGTCATATGGTATTATTGGGCATAATACACAATTCCATTCCAATGGCCCAATTGTGGGACCCGATAAGTTCAAGCCCAAAATTCCAAAATTAGGGTTTTCTAAACCCTAATTAGGGTTTTCAACCCATCATAGCCCAATAGGCCCAAAATTAAGTCCTTAAGCCCATTAGGGTTCCTTAGGTCAATTAGGGTTTCAGTCCCTTGTCCAAACATCCCAAACGAATCACAATACAAACGAGGCACACTGCCACCCGACACGGCGGCCGGTAGCGGGAGGCGGTAGCCACCACCTCACGGTGGTGGTTAGAATTTCTTTCCATTATTCACATTTCTAATTACATTTTACAATGCTAATCTCTAAAATAACGCACACAATTAAGCTAAACACACACACAACCACAACCACCTTGTAGTGGCTGGCAGTGGCGAGTGGTGGCCTCCAAGGTTTTCCAACCACACAAAACTCACACAAACTCACTTCATAATACAATCTAACGGAAAATAACATGCACACACACATCCTTTTTGCTCGGAAATAAACCCAACACCCACCTATGGTGGGTGGCGACGACAGTAGTGGCGACCACCATGGCGGGCGGCCATGGTGGTTAGTTTCCTTGATTTCCGGCAGCAACACTCGCATACCACTCCTCGTGATCAAACAAGATCATGTATCCATAACCGAAACAAGACCACCACTCCAATCCATCGACTAGGAAATGGTGGCGCTGGAACGAGTTGAGGTGGCGACCAAAAGCTGTTGCCGGCAGCACCAAAGATTCTGACGTCGAACCCGAAAGGAAGAACGAAGAAAT